ACAGCATGATGAATGTCACCGAGGTGGACATTACAAAAAGAAAATACTAAAAATGAAAAGCCAATAGCATGCGAGCATCACTTGTTACCAGGCAGACTACACATCAAGCTACAGCGCAGCTGTGACTGTTAGCGTCATTATTTCGGAGTGTTAAAATATAATTAATTCACAGTCGACCATTTCTGTACTATAATGTAACTAATAAAGTTTTTTATATTCAYAGTACAAACTTTTACCAACACAAATGTCGTCACTGGGAGAAACTCTGAAGAGGTTAAAAATTGTTTTCGATAAATGGGGGAAAAAATAGATATATCGGCGGATGTATGCCATAAAAGCTTAATTTTAAAGTTATATTTATTTTTATTTTATTCTAAAATGAGAAATAAAACGTGTCTCACAACACAAGTTTTATAAATGCTCAGTTTAAGAAAAGAAAACTAAAAATGTTTGGTCACTTTCTCTCACCCTCTCGGTTCACCAGGGTTTCTGTAGGTCACCAGGCATTCTTCGCTGCCCGCCAAGCTGCCTCCATCCCGGGGAGCATCATCGACACCGTCGGCCATCCCTGCTGGAGGTCTGTCTCAACTTCTTCAGCAAACACAGAATGAGGAAGGATTCAGCTTCTCCAAGACATAAATCCTCCACAGAATGAGGAAGCAACACTGACGWCCAGATTCTAGAAAATTTCAGGAAAGTGTCTCATAGTTAAAAATAAAATAAAAGAAACAAAGTGGGTGGGACGGATCTGTAAGGAGCGCTCTGATTGGTCAGATTTKACATCATCACCTGTTGTTACAGGCAGACAACACCGAGAGGAGACTGAGTTTTATTTACTTTTCTTTATCTTCGATGCTTATATTGTTTATGCCAACAAGTTTTATTCCGTAATTCTCACAATAAACTTCAGTTCTGAAACACAATTTAAAAGTTTTGTTTTAAAAGAAAGCAAGAGAATAAGGATAAAAAACTGTCAGAATCATGTAACATGAACTTATTCTTAAATTGACTTTTCTTTGGTTTTATCGTGTTTTATTATTCACAAACGTCAAAATGAAAAAAAAAATACATTACATTTTGCATTCACATTAAACTATTAAATATTTTAGACTTTAATTACTGTTTACAACAAAAACAGGTTTCTACAGTTGTTTTATTTGGTGTTTTTTTAGAAAACAGCTACAAGCAGGAAATAAAAGCCTCGCTTATACAGATTTACCCAGGAGACGGTTTTTAAAAGTTCATTTTTATTTTCTAATAGACCAAAACTTCATGAGATTTTGAGAAAATAAGTAAAGCTCACTCCTTCTCGCAGGGATCTACCTGCAAAGTGAGAGAAAACACAAACCAGTCAAACCAGTTTATAATAAACTGGTAACATTTTAAAATGTCTACATCGGAATGGCCAAAAGGTTTGTGTCTGTTTTAAATATTCAGAATTATAA